ATGGGTCATTAAACTCCAGTTACAAGTTCATGACCTGAGGAGTCCACATTAAAGGGGAAATGGCCAGATTCCACTGTGGGAGTGTAAATGGAGACTCATGCTGGATGTTAGGTGCAGACCAAACTGTTAACTGCATGTGAGTTCAGTGCTAGGCAAGAGGTTGGAAGGAGGGGGCTGTTTTTGGAAAGAGTTGGCCAGGGTATGGCCTTAGAGATCTACCAGAAGACTTGGTAAAAACCGAAAAAAACAAACTCGTTACTGTGGAGATGATTCCAACTCGGTGACCCTGAGGAGAAAGTAGAACTGCCCCGTACGGTTTCTTTACAGAAGCAGTCACTGGAGTGGCTGGTGAGTTCAAATCACCGACCTTCCAGTTAGCATCCAAGCAATTAACCACTGTGCCACCAGGGCTCTTGAAGACTTGGCCCAAAAAAACCCAAACCCATTTCTGCTGAGCCAATTCTGACTCATAGCAACCCTATAGTACAGAGAGAGTAGAATTGCCCCACAGGGTTTCCAAGGATTGCCTGGTGAATTCAAACCGCCGAACGTTAGCAGCTGAACTCTTAACCACGACTCCACCAGGGTTTCCAAAGACTTGGTGGAAGGAGGTTATTTAAGACTCTCAGTAGGAGGAAAGGGAGGTGTTACAGAAGCTGCTGTGCATGATGCCATCCAGGAACTTCAGCCCTGCCTTGCAGAGATTACAGGCCTAGGGTTATTAACAGCTTGACAAGCTGGGATCTGTTGATTCTGAGGGTCAGGGCAGTTGTGCTAAAGTTGATATGGGTTAGGGACTGAAGCAATTAAAATATCATTGTGCACAAGGGGAAGTGAGTTTTGGGAGGCCATGGGGTACATGATTTTATTTTGGGGTGTGTGTGTGTGTGTGTGTGTGGTAAAACACATGTCACATAAAATTTACTGTTTTTAAATGCGTTAAGTACATTCACAATTTTGTACAATCATCACCACAATCTAGTTCCAGAACTTTTTCTTCACCCCACATGGAAGCCCCATCCCCATTAAACAATCAGTCCTCATTCTTCTCTTCTTCCAGCCCCTGGCGACTACTAGTTTTCCTGTCTCTATGGATTGCGCGTAGATTTTATGTCAGACAGATCTGGGTTCATTCCGGCTTTGCCACTTAATAACAGTTTATCTTTGCTTCTCTGAGTCTCAGTTTTCCACATTTATAGAATGGGAATAAAAATACCTACCTTGCAGGACAGTTGTGAGGATTGATTGCATGTTAAATGTTTAGCTGGATAATTGGCTGATTCTTGAGTAGATATGTAATAAATAGTATTTATTATTTGCTTTATAAAAACAATTACACCCCCACTATTTCTTCATTTAAAAGCCCAATTTTGCCTATTCCAAACTTGGAAGGGATAACTGGCATCTCACAGTGGATTACCGAAACCTAAATGCTGTGGCCCCATCCATTAAAGCCCCCATGCCCAATACCCAATATTATTAAAATGACTGCTCCATCCAATCAGCAATCAATAAATATTTTGCTAGTATAAAAGAGAAAGCAATAACAGAAGGGTTCCTTTAAATTGTACACTACTGTGTTTAAACTGCCAGTTCACCAAAAAACTCAGGTAACACCCAGCTTAATCATCTACTCTGATAGGTGCTGAGGTAGGGACTCTGACTTTTGCCTTCTAAGAAAGTTAAAAATTAGTTGAGGAGGTGAGAGATAACTATATGTTCATGGACTGATAGCATGTTACAAGCTCTAAAATGCTATTGGAATTCAGAGGAGAAAAATCAAGTGGTTGGATACTTAATAAATATTTGAATTAGTAAATGAATGAACAGTCAAATGTATGGCAGGCTTATGGGAGAGGTACAGCTGGAGCTGGATAAATAGAATAAGTACCACTGCCTCTCTGTATCTACAAAATATAGTCTGGTCATTAGGATGCATAGCAACCCTTACAGTAAATAAAAGAAACTGGAGTTTAATGATTGTTTTTAGAGGACCAGTCCAAAGTTTTTGAGAAGTCAATGTATTTCAATCAAGGAAGTTTATAAAGAGAGTTAGATTTGGGCTCAGTACAAGGAGGAACTTAGTATTAGTTTTGAAAGGGAGGTGACAGTTTGTATGTGTCAGGCAAAGGTCATTCAACTTTTTTGAGGTGTCAGAGAGAGAATTTATCAGACTGAACCATAAGGAGACTTTATCTCTAAATCTTTGCTTTTTTTTTTTTTTTAAAATAAATTCCCATTTCTATTTTCCTCTCTGTGAACTTAATGGATAAAAGTTGATAAATTGTTAAGGGTTATACTTCTCTTTCTCTCTCCACATGCCTTTCCACTCACTATCTATTCATTTAACCTGCTTTTTTTTTCTTCATAGCACTTGTCACTACCTGGTATTTTCTATTTATTTATTGTCTGTCTCCTCCACTGAATATAAGCTCCTTAGGAGCAGATAACTTTGTTCACCACAGACTTATCCACAATACCATGAGAGTGCCTAGCACATAACTGGCACTCAGTAAACATTTGCTGAACCTTTCATTTGCTGAATGAGTTTATAAATATATCTAAATAAGTAATATACATGCATAAATAGCTGTGCAGTTTTTTCTCAATATGAAAGTAATACTGTTCTTGTAAGAAAATACAGAAAAGTATAAAAAAAGAACAGAATAAAAATTGGAGGAATATATCAGCAGCAACATACTCCTGAGAAATATGCTTGATTGAGTTTGTGTTGAACTTTGAGGTGCTCTGGCCCTATGAAGTCTGTAAATAATGGCAACTTCCTTCCATCTGTAATTTATTTTTATTTTTATTTTTTATTAAATAAATGATGCTGGTAAGGAAGGATGACTGCATAGGGATTACTTATGGGAACACAGGATACAAAGCCAAACAATAGGCCTTTATGTTATCTAGAGGATCTCTTTCTTTTACCTCCTGTAATTGGTGATATCATAATTAGGCCTGCATATTACTTCTGAGTACTACCATACAATGCACTTCATTTAGCCAGGTTTATGGTGATTAGATCATGCACAGGAAGCTGGCTTCTTGGTTATCAGGCTCAGCAGAGGAGTTGGGACGCTTAAAGAGTATGAAATATTAGGGTAGAGGGACAGGGCTCTCTGGAGAAAAGCACAGAGATTTTTCTAGCTTGTATAAGTGCCTCAGTGATCTTCAGTTTTAACAGAAGATCTTTAAACAGAATTGATTCCTACTTCATTAATCTTTCTGTAAATAAGGGCCTCTTTTAGCTTCCTTTTCCTCATTTTTAAAGTGTTGTTGTTAGGTGCTGTTGAGTCGGTTCCAACTCATGGTGACCCTCTGTACAACAGAACAAAACACTGCCTGGTCCTGCGCCATCCTCACAGTTGTGGCTATATTTGAGCCCATTATTGCAGCCACTGTGTCAGTCCATCTCATTGAGGGTCTTCCTCTTTTTCACTGACCCTCTCCTTTACCAAGCATGATGTCCTTCTCCAGGAACGGGTCCCTCCTGATAACATGTCCAAAGTAAGTGAGATGAAATCTCATCATCCTCACTTCTAAGGAGCATTCTGGCTTTACTTCTCCCAAGACAGATTTGTTCATTCTTCTAGCAGTCCGTGGTGTATTCAGTATTCTTCACAAACACCATAATTCATAGGGATCAGTTCTTCTTCGGTCTTCCTTATTCATTATCTAGCTTTCGTGTGCGTATGATGTGATTGAAAATACCCTGGCTTGGATCAGGTTTGAACCCACCAGCTGCTCTGCGCCCTGCTGGGGAAAAATGTGGCAGTCTGCTTCCATAAAGATTACAGCCTTAGGAACTCTATGGGGCAGTCCTACTCTGTTCTGTCGGGTCACTATAAGCCAGAATCTACTTGACTCGATGGCAATAGGTTCATCTCTAAAGTAGGGCTGCTAATACCTACTTTGCAAGATTGTTATGGTTCTAATGAGCTAACGTTTAAAAAAATCTAACATAGTGCCTGGAAGATAAAAAACCTAGCATAGTTCCTGGAACACATACCATTGTTAGTTCCACTTCTTAAAATTCTTTTTATCATCATTATTGCTGTCCACACTATCAGGTTTTAATTGACTTATTGTAACAGAATTACATTTTGAAATTGTATTGTGTTTGGCATTTTGAATAGCATTTTGTGTTTCTTAAGACATTTTAAATTATCTGCCTTGAATTATAATTTTTGAAATTGGATTTCTTATTTTATTCTCCCTGTTTGATCACAAGCAATCTGAGGGATAGAGACTTATATTCATTCTTATATTCACTACAGTGCTTAGGACAGTGCTTTGAACCAGTGGATGTTCAATAAAAGTTTGTTGAATGCATTTGTGCTAGCCTTTTTGAAAGGTACAACTAAAATATGTAACGTAACTATTGTTAGTAAAAATAAGCATCCTCACACACAACCCTGTAAAGCCCATGCAGATCTAGCTGCATAGTGTAATTTTTTTTCTGTGAACATTTATTGAATTGAAGAGAATAGGACATGCCCAGGTGGCAGTTACATCTTAAGACTGACAAATCTAGAGCAAGCTATATTTTTGTTTTTTTCAAATCCAGTTTTATTATTATTTTTTTATTCACTGGTAATTGTTTGTTCCCAGTAAAAGGGCCTTCAGCAGTAGGACAGTGATTGTATAGATGAACAACAGGCAGATGAGGTGACTCAGAGGAAGTAGAAAAGTAGGAAAGGAAGAGATAGGTCAGAAAATGAATTAATTTACCCCGTTTAATCCAGCAGTACTTTAGGCAGCACACACAACAGGGTGCTGCTCCACTTTACTTTCCCTTTGTTTCAGCCTGTCTGCCAATCTCAAATGGTTTCATTGCCGTATCTGAGCAAAGCCTTTGAGCTAAAATTGTTCGTCTTTAGGATCAGAGTGTTGCTTAAGATGAGACTCTAAGCCCTGCTAAGTGTATGATGATGTTAGATTCCCATTCCTTGGCCTTTCAGTCATGATACTTCTCACCATTTCCTTTTCCCTAGGTGTATGTGGTCGGGAATGAACCTCTAACAGTTTTGGTGGATTCCCTACTTCCAGTCCTGGGAGTGCTCTTTTCTCTCTACTGTTTTACCAAGCAGAGTGTGTCTCACATAAGGTAAAGGACCAAGAGAACCTTACCTATTTATAACTAGTGAGGTCTTATTTGCACACTGTACTTGTTCTTATTTTGAATGTAAGACTTAAACCGTTTGGTCATTGTTACATTTGGGGATCCTTTTTTATTTTTTGCTCGTCTAGAAAACAAAGGGAATTTTATAGAATACAGGGGATTGGATATAGTTTTTAGACTGGCTTGCCTCAGCCTCTGTCCTAGACATCAGAGATAAAAATCTCTGTTTACATGTATAAGCATGCCAGTGTTTGATCAGTGAGAAATACTGGAATTACATGTCTAGGAAGAAGGAAATAGGTGATGGATCATAATACCTATGGGGAGTTAGAAAACCAGTTTGGGAAATCTCTGGGCCTCAATATAGCACACTCTGTAATTTAGACATGGATGTGGTGTTAGTGATGCAGAGTGTTTAGAAAGAAGGGATTTTTTAGTCATCCAGAAAATAATCTTTTGTATTGGAATTTAAGTGGGACTCATTTTATGGTAGCTCATTTATGTTATTTCTCCCTCCTGATTAAAAGTTTATATCCTTTCTAAAGTCCTACAGAATTTTAATTTTTTTGGTGTTTGGAAACCCTCACATGTAATCTGAGATACAGTGATAATTTGCCTTCTTCGTAAGGTTATTATGAAGCCTAAATATGTGTTACTTATAAAATAAGGGATGGTAAATGCTTGTTAGCACAGTCCCTGGCAAATAGTAAGCTCAATAAATGGTAGCTATCCTCATCATCATTGTTAAGTGGTAAAGGAAAATACTCAGTCTTGCATGTTATTCAAAGCTTACATATTGTCTTTGTCTCTCAAACTTTTCGTCAGCACAGCCATAAGGGCAGTAACAAGAGATAATGCAGTAGAAAATGGATGCTATAAACGTGCATTTGACTTCAGAGACCTGTCCATGTAGTAACTCTGTGTTAGTTTTGAAACCAAAATCTCCATAGCACCATCATGTCTTCATCAGAGACTGAGAAGGAAGAAGGAAACACTTATTCTATTCCTCTCTTAATTGACTGGCACAGATAAAAGAGAATGAGAAGTCAGCAATATTTTGTTGATATACTGTTTTCTGGTCACCAGCTATTGGTCCCACTGATAATAGATAACTTTATCAGTATAGGCTTTGAGTGTTGAGATTACCAAAAAAATAAAGTAAAATTATAAATCATGTGGGGCTCATGTGGCATATCAGGGTTACCTCTGGAGCCAAGGATTAGTTAGTCACTCATGAAATTTTAGGGTATTTGCATTACATTCACATGAAGCATACTTTCTACTCCTGCATGTCAGTCTGACTAGGTGATTGTGCCAACATTTAGAATGCAATGGAGTTGACAGTCTTTCTTTTCTTTTTTATGTTAGCTTGTTAGATGTGTAGAGTAAGATGACAGGCTCATTCATAACTGCTTTTTCTGCCAGGTCACTTTGCCAAGAGATCCTATTATGGATTCTGGGGAAGCTGGAAAGGAAGAAGGCAGTTGCTAGCCTGAAAGGATTTGCAGGGTTGGACAAATCTGTGCCCTCTTTCCATTCTCTGTGTCAGTTTAGAGCTGCCACTCAAGGTGGCATTATGATTACCATCCAAGAAGCCATTAGCAGGTGAGTCCATCCATCCTTTACTACCTCACTTCAGATTTAATTCTACCCAAAAGGCCATTCTGTGACTCAGCCACTAAGGGGCGCTGATAGAAAGGAAACCAGAAACTCTTTCAGGTGGCTGAGATAATTGCTATTTATAATCTCTGAATGCAACTATGAACCTTAAGTAATCCTCCAGGTTTTTTTCTAAGGTGCTGGCACATGGGGTCGCTATGAGTCAAAAATCGACTCAGCAGCACCTAATAACAACAACAAGCTAATAGTATGTGTAGTTTACCAGGGCCTCACAGCTCCACATCACAACAAGCCCAGTTACTTTACAGAGTCGTTGCCAGTGAATCAGAGTAAAGTCAAATAAATACATGTTGACCCTCAAAACCAGAATAATCCAATTTTTTTTCTGACTATAAAAATGGTATATGTGTTCAGAGTCAGACTTATTCCTAAAGGAATTTGTCCAGTAGCTGTCTTTGGTGGTAATTTTATGATGGAGGTTTGCTTCTTCTAGGGACTGATTAGCTCAAAGAATTGAGTATTGCCCATTTTTACATCCTCAGTGGCCAACTTAATATTCTTGGTACATAGAAGATGCTTAATGTTAGTTGGATGCATGAATTTATGACTCTAAAGTCTTGTGGATATGTATTTTAATTTATTTCCATTCTCTAGGTGATATATATAGGACGTTATTACCTCAGAATTTAAGTTCCTATTGATCAGGGTCCATGGAGTATTTAACTAGTAGCAGCTGCTCTGTTTGGATACTCTATCACTTTCAAAGTGTTGCTGTTTTTGAAGTGTTTAAATTTACTTTTATATTCATGGTTTACTTGGTAAAGTTTTAAAACACCCTTTTAATATGAAGGATTTGAGGAAAGTAGAAAAGATTGCAAACAGAATTATCAATACAAACTCAAGCTACTAATTTGCTGAGAGTTGTTGTACATTAGTAGGTTTTGTGGTTACAGCTATGCCCCTGAACTGTTTAAAATTTTTTTGACACGTTTATCTTAAAATCTCTTTGTTTTTTCTTTTTCTTTTCTTTTATTGTGCGTTAGATGAAAGTTTACAGAGCAAATTAGTTTTTCATTAAACAATTAATACACATACTGTTTTGGTGACATAGGTGGCCAACCCCACAACATGTCAGCGCTCCCGTTTTCAATCTTGGGTTCCCCATTTCCGTTTGTCCAGCTTTCCTGTCCCCTCCTGCCTTCTTGTCCTTGCTTCTGGGCTGGTGTGCCCATTTAGTCTCGTATATATGGTTGAACTACGTGTATTATTATTTGTTTTATAGTCCTGTCTAATCTTTGGCTGAAGGGTGAACCTCAGGAGTGACTTCAGTACTCAGTTAAAAGGGTGTCTGAGGGCTATACTCTTGAGATTTCTCCAGTCTCTGTCAGAACAGTAAATCTGGTCTTTTTTTTTTTTTTTGTAAGTTTGAATTTCATTCTACATTTTTCTCCAGCTCAGTCTGGGACCCTCTATTGTGTTCCCTGTCAGAGCAGTTGGTGGTGGTAGCGGGACACCATCTAGTTGTGCTGGACTCAGTCTGGTGGAGACTGTAGTAGTTGTGGTCCATTAGTCCTTTAGAATAATCTTTCCCTTGTGTCTTTGGTTTTCTTCATTCTCCCTTGGTACAGATGGGGTGGAACCAGTAGATGTATCTTAGGATGGCTGCTCACAATCTTTTACGACTGTTTAAAAACTCTTTGGAACAATTTTAACCTGCAACCAATTTAGTGACAGTATAGGGAATTTTACAGTATTTCACTTATTAATAGTTGGAAGCGATTGTTATCTTAACAAGTCTTTAGTATACCTCTTAGTGGATACATGTCAAAGTCAACATTTCTTACTGAAACCACAGCATTCCCTTTTGGCAGGAAAAAAAAGTGAATGGTCAGTATTGAATTAATTTCTATTCACTGTCAGAAGTTGTGGTCCTTAACCTGGGGTTTCTGCCTGGTCTTCTAGTAGTCTATAATCTCCTTGAAATTATACACAATATTTTGTTTCTGTGTGCAAACATGAATTTTTCTGAAAATAAGATCCATAGTTTTCATTAGATGCATGAAGCCAACCACATCCCTAAAAAGTTGACAGACACTGTACCAGAGAGAGAGGTGTGTGTGTGATTTTATCATTTGTTCTAAAGATTCTGCTCATCATTCTAGTCCCCCAAGGGCAGGGTCAGGCACATTGGTCTGTATCACTATTTACTTTTCACTCCACCACTCCGGCAAGCACTATTTATCAACAAGAAATTTGTTTAAAGGAACCCTACAAGAGCAGTTTCATTTCATGCTCTTTAGATCTAGAGTTTTACTTTTCTGGAACTAAATGTAAGTATTTAGAATTGACCCTTTATCACTGAAATTTTAAGAATAAAAAAATAGTGCTTCTTATAATAATTGTCGAATCTGTTTAAGAGTATTCGAATACAGTACTTCATTTTGATGTAAACAATCACGATGCTTCGCAGAAGCTTAGAAGTGATGTTTATCCATTTCCAATTTTCTTCTAATATAGAATGGCAATTTGTGGTGGAGGAAACATGACTAATCTGAAGGACTCTGGAAGATTCTGGGATAACGTAGGAAGTAATCCAAAGCATAGTTTATAGGTTTTTAGTTCTATTAGGGGATTATGAAGGCCATGTTATTAGTGAACTCGCAAATTGGAACATATTGCCCAATGAGATAGTCTGCCAAATTAATTTTTTAATGAGATGATGCAACATCTGTCATTTTTTTCTCAATTTATTCTGAAAAAATTTTCATTCTTTTTTTTGATCACAAAAGTAACACGTTCTTTGTATAAAACAAAAAAGCATAAAAAAGGAAGCAAAATTCAACCACTCCCCTATTCACTGTTTATATTATTTTATTGTTTGTTTCTTAGTATGTCTTTTGTACATTTGTATTTGTTTATCTGATACAGTGTTACAGTATTGAATCCTGGTTTCTTTGCTTATCAGATGAATTAAAACTAAAAGCTTTAGCACCTTATGAGAAGTTTCTTGGAACTTTTTCCAGAAATCATAGCAGTTTTTAATAATTTAACCAAATTTTATTACTTGGTAATTATATTTGGCCTACTTCATTTTCTGAACCTTTATGCACTTTTTTTTTAATTGTTCTTTGGTGAAGGTTTACAGAACAAATAGTTTCTCTTTAAACAGTCAGTACACATATTGTTTTATGACATTGGTTAACAACCCCACGACATGTCAACCCTCTCCCTTCTCGACCTTTTTTTTTGGTGAAAATATACATAGCCAAAGATACACCATTTCAAAAATTTCTACATGTAGAATTCAGTGACATCAATTACGTTCTTCCAGTGTGCTGCTATTCTCACTTTAGATGAAGGTTTACAGAATACAATAGTTTCTCATTAAACAGTACACATGTTGCCCTATGACAATGGTTAACAACCCCACTACATGTCAACACTGTCCTTACTCAGCCTTGGGTTCCCTATCACCAGCTTCCCTTTCCCCTTCTGCCTTCTAGTCCTTGTCCCTGGACTGCTGTGCCTCATTAGTCCCGTTTTGTTTTATGGGGCTGTCCAATCCCCAGCTGAACGGTGAACCTCGGAAGTGACTTCACCACTGAGCTAGAAGGGTGTCTGGGAGCCATACTTTTGGGGTTTCTTCAGTCTCTTTCAGGCCAGTAAATGTGGTCTTTTTGTGTGTGTGTTAGGATTTTGTTCTACATCCTTCTCCAGCTCTGTCCAGAACCCTCTGTTGTGATCCCAGTCAGAGCAGTAAGTGGTGGTAGCTGGGCACCATCTAGCTGTACTGGACTTAGTCTGATGGAGGCCTTGGTAGCTGTGGTCCATTAGTCCTTTGGACTAATCTTTTACTTGTATCCTGTTCTCTTCATTCTCCCTTGTTCCCAAAGGGGTGAGACCAGTGGAGTATCTTAGATGGCTGCTCACAGGCTTTTAAGACCCCAGACGCTACTCACCAAGGTAGAATGTAAACTGTGTTATGC